GGCCCCACACCCAGCAGTAGATGGCCAAAACCATACAAACTCGGTGCCGTCTTTGTACAGTCTTTGTCTTAGAAGGTTTTAGACAGGGCGTTTTCCCCCCTTTTCTTTCTGTTGTCTACCTTATAGATCCTTTGCATATGCATCATAGCTTCCAGTTTTGTGTTTTAGGGATCCTGTTTGTATGGACCTGCCAGTCTCTGCCTCTACATACCTATCTTCCGCTTTTTCTTTGACCCTTTTTCTTCTGTTTTGTCCAAGTTCAGTTTATTTGTTTTTCTTTCATCTTACGTTACTTTTTAGATGCCTGTTTTCTAATGAGAGACAGAAAGGGTGTGGATTCCGTTGAGGGAAGGTGTGTGTGGGGGAATCTGGGAGGAGCTGGGGGAGGGGAAACCATGATCAGAATATATTGTATAAAAAAACATCTATTTTCAACAAAAGAAAGGAAAAAGAACCCACAAACAAACAAAAGAAACACACACACAAAGACAAAAATGAATATAAAACGAAGTAACAAGTAACATACAAAAATAGCCCCATAGAAACATGCAAATGAACATTAAAATAAACCAGCAAAAGACCAATAAGACAAAAAAATGCAAAAAATGAAGCAAAATGGAACAGAGTCTATAAAAATACCATTGAGTTTGTTTTGTGATGGCCAGCTACTCCTCAGTGTGGGGCCTGCCCTGAAGTGTGTTAACAGACCCAGTGTCTTAGTCAGGGTTTCTATTGCTGTGAAGAGACACCATGACCACAGCAACTCTTGTAAAGGGAAACATTTAATTGGGGCTGGCTTACAGGTTCAGAGGTTTAGTCCATTATGGTCATGGCAAGAAGCATGGCAGCATTCAGGCAGACATGGTGCTGGAGAAGGAGCCAAGAGTTGTACCTCTGGCTCTCTGGATCAGCAGGCAGCAGGAAGAGAGAGAGAACCACTGGGCCTGACTTGAACTTCTGAAACCTCAAATCCCACCCCTAGGGACACACTTCCTCCAATAAGGCTAAACCTACTCCAACAAGACCACAAGTCCTAATCTTTTCAAATAATGCCACTCCCTATGAGCCTATGGGGACCATTTTCATTCAAACTACCATACCCTGTGAGACTTCATTGGCAAAAACTGACTTAAAAGGGACTTTTCTTTTTTTTTTTTTTTAAAAAAAACATTTTATTTATTTATTTTTAAAATTTATTTTATTTTATGTGCATTTGTGTTTTGCCTGCATGTCTGTCTGTGTGAGGGTGTCAGATCTCAAACTTACAGACAATTGTGAACCGCCATGTGGGTGCTGGGAACTGAACCCGGGTCCTCTGTAAGAGCAGCCATTAAAGCATTAAACCAGCCAGTTGACTGTCCAGAACAGAGCCCTTCCCCTGACCCCTAGTGAAGAGCTACTGACAGTGGATGTCTTCTAGGAAGGGAAAGTTGATTTTCTTTAAGGGGGTGACCCCTGTTAGGTCACTGTGCTCAAGTGGATGGCCCTGCACAGACTATATGGGCAGTACAGATTGGATTCAGAGGGTTGTTGTGAGGGGGAGGGGGAGGGGAAAGAGGGAGAGGGAGAGGGAGAGGGAGAGGGAGAGGGAGAGGGAGAGGGAGAGAGAGAAAACATGAACACAAAGTTGGGAGAGGGCACTGGGTTAGCAGTCAATCTAGGTGGAGTCATAGGGTGAAGTGGGGGTGAATATGACCAAAGTATACTGTATGTGTGTATGAAATACTCAAAGAATTCATACAGAAATTTAGTTTTTAGAAAGACACTCTAACCATTAGCACTCCCCATTCCCTGCTCTTCCAATCCTAAACAAGCAAGCAGTTGTCTACATTCTGTCTGTGCACGGATATGCCAGCTTCTTCACATGAGCTGAACCACACAATTAAAAGAGCCTTCAAATAGGTGTGTGGTTTTTGTATCCTTAATATAATAACTTGCATTCCTCTGATGACTAATGATCTTGAGTATCTTTCCATGTTCCCTATTTGTCCTTAATATTTTGTCCTTGGTGATGTATGTATTCAAGTCTTGTTTATATTTAAAAATTAAAAAACTGTATCTTCATGCTGCATCAGGCTTCATGGTGTTTGATATGCATTGTCGTATGTCCTTTGGGTAATATCCCCAGGTCACCGCACCCCTGAAGTCTGGTAATTACCATTCTATTCTGTTTCTGTTTTCTGTTTATTTGATTGATTGATTGAATTGAGACAGGTTTTCACTGTATAGCCCTCGCTGGCCTGATCAGGCTGACCCCAAACTTACAGAGATCACTTTTACTGCCCAGTGTTAGGATTAAAGGCACCCCCCACCATTTCGGTTTTCTGTTCTCTTTTCTAGACTCGGCATAGAATTGAGATCATTCTCGTTTGTCATTGTAGGCCTGGTTTTATTTAATTTAATACAATCTTCCAGGCTTATCTGTGTTTCTGGAAAATGGCAGAATTTTCTGGTTTTCAAAGGTTTGGTGGTATGTCATTATGTATATACGTCTGTCACCTTCATGTCTGGTGGACACTTGGGTGGATTTTGTGTCTTGATTATTATTAATGAAGCGGGCAGAGCAGGGAGCTCCTGGACATACTTCTTTCATTTCTTTTGATAATATCCTCAGTTTTGAAGTGTTGAATTGTAGGAAAGTAGTGTGTTTAGAGGTTTAAAGGACACTCCTAGTTTTTTTTAAACAGTGGCTGTGTTAATCCCCACCCGTTAAACATCCCCACTAGCACTGTTCACAAATTATCTGTACATCCTCAGAAATACTCGACTTGATCCATCTTGTTGATAAAAGCCATTTTAACAGGTAGAACCTGAGACGTTCGCTTGACTGACATTTCTGGTGATTAGTGGCGTGTGGTACAGCCGCAGCTGCGCATCGGCAGTCTGCTTTGTAAGAAACGGCTGATCACTTTACACTGTTTGAATCCATGTATTTGTTTTTCTAATAGAGAGTTGTTGAGTCCCTTACATAGCTTTGGATATTTACCTCTTTTCAGATATGTCTTATAAACATTTTCTCCCATTCCATTGTTTTTTCCTAAGCATTTCTTCTTGGGAGGATGGTTCTTTCTCTACTGAACTGTCTTTATTCTAATAGAGTCTTCATATACTTACTCATAGAACTATTTCTGTATATTTTGCATTGTGCTGTAGTTTTTCCTCTATATAACTAGCTTAATTTAATTGGAAAATTCACTCTTACCTTCTGTATCCTTGGCAAAAGTTCGTCTACATTTTCTATCAGTTGCTGAGACCATGCTTCGTCTCCATGTGTGGTTTTGGATATTCTTCTCCTTCAGCTCTGTGTGTGAGCTTCATGTATCTTAGAGATCTGTTGCTAGATGCATGCACATTTATGCATATTGTGTTAATTTACGGAATCTGGCCTTTCAAAACTTAATAATATTCCCCCATTGATTTTCTGAGATCTACTTTGATACTAATGTAGCTGTTTTCTTTTGTTGATGTTCTGCCTGTATCTTTTATTGATCATTTTATTTTTTAACCTATATTTGTCTCTATACATAAATAGATTTTGTTTACAGTATGCAGTTTAGTCCTGGTGTTATGACCCAATATAATGAATGATGTTTAGGTTGTAATTGTTACATAAAGTTTAAATTTATTGTAATTCTTCCTATTGAATTTCAACCCACTACATTATAGCTGTTTTACCTGTTGAATCCCTTGGGTTTTTTTTCTCATCCTCTGCATATAATTTTGAGTTTTGCATTTAGCTTTATTCTTGAATTATTATGGCTTTTTATTTTAAATAATTATTTTAGTTGTTGACCTGGGTTGTATAACATATATCTTTAATTAATTAGGGTCTCCCTTTAAATAATATAATACCTAACACATAGTATAACCAGCTTTATTTTTACCTTCACTTGTTTCTCCTCTAGAACTCCGTATGTGTATGTACGGTCTCTTAACGTGCTTTAAAAATGTCAACGATTGGCCGGGCGGTGGTGGTGCACGCCTTTAATCCCAGCACTCGGGAGGCAGAGCCAGGCGGATCTCTGTGAGTTCGAGGCCAGCCTGGGCTACCAAGTGAGTTCCAGGAGAGGCGCAAAGCTACACAGAGAAACCCTGTCTCGAAAAACCAAAAAAAAAAAAAAAAAAAAAAAAAGAAAAAAAAAATGTCGACTATGGTGCGCCAGGCCTGACTCCTGGCTGTTTACTCTACTTAGTACTTGGCACGTGTCTGATGGTTACAGTTCTCTGTGCATGTGTATAGTTCCAGGACCGTGAGCTGAGTTGAGTATGCCATCACAAGTCCTTCTGCTTCGTCTTCAGAGTCCCAAAGGCCAAATTCAAACCAATCCTACTTTAAGGCATTTCTGAAAGTTCTTTTTCAAAGTTGAAACTTAAACCAGTGGGGCCTGGCATCCCCTTGATGTCTCTGTTTTCTGACTCTCTTGCTTTGTGTGTGGCATGAGAGCATTCAGACCATGATGCTGTTTGCGAAGAACTTTCCTCCAGCACCCCACACGGGGAAATAGCCACAGAATCCCTTCTTATCTCCTTCTCCTCAACAGATTACCACAGAGTGGTGGGGCACTTCCCTAGCTCTTTACCAACTTGAAGAAGTGCAGACTGTTCAGTCACTGTTGAGAACGCTGAACTCAAAGCCCTCTCCCTGAAGTTTTCTGGTTTATTTCACTCCAAACATGTACTTTTAGGGATCCTGGGACTCCAGTGTTTGGCTGTTCTCGAAAAACATTATTTTCCCTCGGACTTGAGTTTCTTAACAGCCCGTCAAGTGCAATGACCCTGGGTAGGTTTCCTGGCATCAGGGAGGAAGGCCGGTAAAAATCCTAGAATTTTCTGAGCGATTTCAGCTGTGAGGGAAAAAGACTCTTGGCATCTTGGGCCAGTATCTAGGACTTATGAACCCTGGGTAGTCATGAGCATATCTGCCAGAGACACTTTCAGGATTTCCTCTCTAAGTCATGTCCACAGCATAACATTTTCTTTTTGTCTTTTTCCCCCTCAAGGGGTGCTACATCCATTGTGTACAGATGCAAACAGAAGGGGACCCAGAAGCCCTATGCTCTGAAAGTGTTAAAGAAAACAGTAAGTCTGTTTCGTTATATAATAGTATCTCCGAGAGACCCAAGAAGCAAGAAATCTGACTCAAAAATCGAAGTGGTCGTGAAGAAGCCAATTGTTGTCTGATGGAAGCCACATGAGACAGTCACTGGTTCTTAAACTGGACGTGATTGTGTGGAGAGAAGGATGGAAGGGGAAAGCATTAGAGCAGGGAGGGAAGCCTTGTGTGTGAGCTTTGCCCATGGATATATGCATATATTTATGGAGTGAGATGACAAGCCTGCACTTTAATATGCTAGAGTAGCCTGTGACTTAAAAGGGGATGAAGCGAAGCCTAAGGGTCTGTATTGTGAAAGGAATCATCAGCTTCTAATCTGCCTGAAGCTTTCCAAGGTTGGGTGTGTTTTAGTGATGTGCAACTGGATCAGTGTTATTGCTTCCCAAGTTAGACCTTCAAGTTTAGACAAGAAAGAAAGTTTTTGCTTCATTCGCCTAAGCTCATAAGTGAGCTAGACCAGTGTCCGTGTCTAAGGCTCCTTTGTAACTATGTTGAGGAGACCAGAAGCTTGTGAGGTCACATCTTGGGTGGTGTCCCTATGTGATACTCTTTCAGCCTTACTGCCCTTTCTGTTCCTTTTTGTTAATGCGTTAGATCCTGCTCGTAAAACTACAAAAAGACAAGATACACTTTATGGCACAGTGCTCCTTTGTCATATTTTATGTGAACAGATGTGGGAAGTGTGTGGATTTCTGAAAACCATGGTAAAGTGTCCCAAAGAAAGATGTGTCAGACATTTCAATATCAAGTGATAGCCTTTTACCGGCCAAAGGAGGCTTCTGCCCCCAAGGGGCAGCTAGTTTTCATCAGCGGTTTTGTGTTGTCCAGCACAGGGAACTCTTACAGCTTCATGTAATGGAGAACCCAACAGCACAGGATTTTAGCCAAGTAGAAACAGAATGACACTTTTAAACAGTCTGTTAGAATTCTAAGCTGTAGAAAAAAAAAATCCCACAGTTAAATCAGATTTTAGATAGCAATGTAAGTGGCAATTAATACCCATAAATTTCACATTTAAGTGTTGTAATTGGTATTAAAAAATTTAAGTCAATCTCAAATGTACAGGAATATTTTAATTAATGTTTGTGACTTTTTCTGTATCAATTTCTTCATCGTAAAATTTCCTGAACTAAGTATTATTTAAAATTTTTTGAAATATAGTTTTCAAATAAATATCTGAATTTTAAGATTATGTTAGGTGGTTTTAGTACTCTTACATGTTATATTTACACGTGGGGGCTATGTGTTTTCTTATTGGTTAAAAATGTTAGTAAATGGGCAAATTGTTTCCTTTTTCCTACTTTCATGATTGAGGAAATTTTGAAAAGGGGTAGATAACATGAAAGTCTAGGAAAGGACCATTTAAAAATGGCTGTGTGAAGCTGGACACGGTGGTGTACCCCGACACTTGATGTACAGAGGGAGAGTGGTCGCGAGTTCCAGGCCAGAGTGGGCTGCACACTGACTGAGATCTAAGAGGTGGGCAGATCTTCCCAAAAGCCGCCAGAGAGTATATGGATGGGAAGCCAGTGTCGGTGGAGCTGCGAGGCCGATGATGTCAAACACGGTTCATTACTGCTGTGCCAAATGGAACGAGAGAAAAAGCCCTGGAGGAACCTTGGCTCTGAATGTGAATTAGATGAGATCCCAGCTTTGTCTTTAGGATACACCATGCTTGGAGCTGTGTAAATGAGAGAAATAGCGGGCAAAGCCACAAAGAGCAAATTGCCTCCAGTTTTTCATTTCATATAGGTCATGAAGATAGATAGAAACTTCCCTTTCTAAGGAAGTGAATGGGTACTATGAATCTGTATACAGAGCAAAATAATGCAGAGGAAATATTTTCTGAGAATATTCAGCAAAGGTTTTGCACCTGAGGACAAAAAAGAGGGGGTGTTCAGAAAGGTTGACTTATGGATGTAATCTCTTATGTCAGGCCACATAAAATTGCCTCAATTGAACCATTTCTGACCTACAGTTTTGTGTGATTCAGTTAACAACTATGGGACCACATACAACCTCACTGAATACTTCCTAATATTTTCATTTAATGATTAGGCATAAACTTAGGAGGCCTTGAGTTTAGTCTGCCTAAAGTTATGTATCATCTATTTATCTATCTGTCTATCTGTCTATCTATCTATCTATCTATCTATCTATCTATCTATCTATCTATCTCATCTATCTCCATCCATCCATCATCCATTCACCCATCTATCCACCTTGCCCACCCTTCTGTGTTAAATTAATAGAGATAGTGAAACAACTACCAAAATTTGGTGGCTTCAAGAATATAAATTTATTTTCGTCAGTTCTGGAAACTAGATTTCCACAGCAAGTGTTGCCAGAGACAGTTTCCTCTGAGGCCCCGGGAGAGAATCTTCTCCATGCCTCATGTTGATTTGGAGGTCATCCTTCCAGTTTCTGCCTCTGTTGCCAAATGGCTGACTTCTCATATTTCTCCACATCATCTTCCCTGGGAAGGTGTGTGGCACAGACTCACTCACCTTGCAGGAGTGCCAGTGCTGCCGTGTGGGAGGCCTGCCCTTTCCGGTATGACTGCATCATAACTAATTACATCTGTGTTAACACAGTTCTGCCAGTCATATTATCAGACGGCATAAGGATAATTTAAAAATAGCCTATCTAATCTTTTATCTGATGATGAACACATTTAATATTAATAAATGTAAAGAAATTTATCCAACTTATAAGTCAGTGGTTCTCGAACTGTGAGCCATGATCCCTTTGAGGGTGGAATGCCTCTTTCACAGGGGTCACCTAAGACCATTGGAAAACATAGATAATTACATTACGATTCATAATAGTAGCAAAATTGCAGTTATGAAGTAACAATGAAGTAGTTTTATGGTTGTGGTCACCACAACATGAAAACCGTATTAAAATGTCAAACCATTAGGAAGTTTGAGAAGCACTGTTCTGAGTGATTAACTTAGTATATAAACATGCTAAGTAAGAGGTTTGTTATCTCCTTTTAGAGCTAATTACTTAATAATACTAGTTATGTTTCTCAGGATCTATTTAAACATTTTTATTGGAATTCATTCTAAATCTTTTTATGGCAATATTAAATTCCTTTCTCATAGCTTAGTATTTTTGGAATCCTTTATACTATCCATAAGAAAATTACTTCCTATTCAAAATCTTTAATCATCATTGAGAAGCTGTCACACACTCAAATCTTTCTCCCAGAGGAATACATACTAAAGCATTAGCTCTTAGGGAAAATCTCACGTGCTGCTGATATTCCGTACAAAAGAGAGTTAGAACTGACCATAAGCACATAGTAAATTATCATGTTTAGACAAATAAACATTTTCCTATTCAAATATCCTTGTGAGAAATTAACATGTAATTATGTGAAGAAACACTTTTAAATTAACATATATTTTATGTCTGTAGTGCCATGTACTTTCTATGTACATAGCTAAATATCAAAGAATTAAAATACATTAGGACACGTATTTACAAGCGTCATAGTGACTTATTTATGTTCATGAGTAAACAGCAAAAAGGTATGTGAGTTTATGAATATATATGTATGGGAAGAGAGAAGGAAGAAAATATGGCAAACACCAATAATTATTGAATGTAGGATATAATAATAATAATAGTATTCGTGATGCTGTGCTAACATTTCAGTGCACATGAACATTCATTCTCATGATGAAACTTTGGAGAAAAGCACCATTGAACATTTTCTATACTGAAAACCACCTGGGCACTTCCTGTAGTAATGGCCATTTGTCTCATGATGGGGTTAAAACTCGGTCAGAATAAATGAGTAGAAAAGGGGTTGAAGTACTTTTTCCGTTGGTTTATATCCCCACACACACACACACACTTAGTACTAAACACTGCTGTGGTGAAAAAGTCCACTCAGTAGGTGTGACTCTCATGCCCTCGTTCTGCACGCGTATGACCTAGTGTTTAACCTTTCTGTTCTGAAGCAGCATTGGACTCACTGAAAACACCGCTTTGTTCCTCGTGAGTACCCCATTATCTCAGGCATTAGAACTCATGGGCTCACAGTTGCCGCTGAGGTTTTTCTATGGACTTTCGAAGTCATAAATCAAATATGAAGAAAGAATTGCTCACTGGTAGTGGATGTCTTTACATGTCCTGACACTTGCTGCTTTCCTGTCTGCGCAGCTATCATTGTATCTTGCCTTTCTCTTTGTGTTTGCCAAATAAATAAATATACTTTGCAGCGACAGCAAAGCCACATCGGGACTGCATGACAGCAAAGAGATAAATTCAAGTATCAAAATTTGAACATATTAAGCATAATGTATTCATCACGGACTAAGTTTTACCAGGTTAAATAGAATCTCTACTTTCAAATAACAGCATGAGGACAATGGAATTGTGTTTCAGGGGTGATCCATGTAGATGGAAGTCACCTTTTATCCATTAAAAATCGTATCTCAGAATCCATATAACCATAGCCTGTAAATGTGGCTTGTTTGCAAAATAAATAGCTTGTTATTTAAGAAATTTATGTTCACTGATGATTTATACTGTCTCTGGAAGTCTAGAGACTGATAGAAAAACCAGGTACCATTTCCAGCTGTGTGGCTCAGCACCTGGGAAGGTTATAGTATTCTAACTGTAAAATCTCTTTTTTCACTAACTAGCCAGTATCAAGTCTGAGAGTTTGTATTGGTGTAGGCATTTGGAATGCACGGGTGTTTTGACTCTCATCAAAAACAGTTGTTCAAACGTGGTGTCTGATCATAGACTCCAGAGATAAAGACACTGAGTTTGATCACTATAAATAATAAATGTATTATTACATATGCCGCATATTATAGACCATTGCTCAATCTCTCTTTCAGCCATAAAGTGAGTTTCAGAACTCACTTTCAATCTAGTTAAGATTGAAATGAGATTGCTCATACAAAATGTTTTCCAGCACACAGCAGGCATGTTGCAAATGATGCAC